GATATTGATACGCATTTTTCCTGCTGAAATAGTCTTGTATATATTGAACAGTGGTTGCGCACTTGTTATTTTGTTTACTGTTACCAATATTATTGTTATTACTAGCGGTAATTGAGTCTGTCTGTTTGCGTCTTTTATTTGTTGAGGAGAATGAGAAAAATTAATTTACAGCATAGTATTACTTCAAAAAGGATTCTGAAACTGGAGTGTGTAGTGACACCGCATCAATAATGGTTGAGGGGCAAAATCCATGTTTTAAATTATGGATAGCAGCTGGCTCAAAAAATGCTATTGCAAAATAGGGTATAGCGTGATAGCTGCTATTTTGAATTTTTTTATATAGTTTATAATTTTTTTCCCTGAATGGAAATAGGGTATTGCGTGATAGCTGCTATTTTGTCTGGAAATATTCATTTTTTCAACAAACTTTTGTACCATGTATCAAAAATACATTATAACTTAGCAATGTAATAATTCATCAAGAAGCAATTGTTTTTTGTGCTGACTTTTGCATCTATTTGTTCTTTGCAGTTTGCGGGAACCATTTGTGTTAAATGGCCAATAATTCTCAGCCCTCGAGTATGCAGGTAACATATTTCTTTCTTAATACTAACCAAGAATCCTGTTACAATGCAATGTTTGTCTAGTAACTTTTTTGATTGTGTCTAATAACATGCTTGCTCCGACAGTCTGACCATGAGAATATTGAATGTTGATATAAAGAATAGCTAAGTTATTTCTTGATAGAAAGATTATAATGACGACATCGAGGTTTAAACCTAAGACCTTGTGTATATTAACCTTGATAGAAAGATTATAATGACCACTAAGCCAACCCTAGTGGTCCTAGTTAGGGTTTTAATATCTGGCTTCTTTTGTTTTGTTTCTTTCATTTTTAGAGTTAATGCTGTCCTGATTTTCTGCAGAATGTGATGCTTTTTAATTTTCAATTTTTTCTCTGTCTCTCCCACACTATCTCTCCATGCATGTGTAATTGTTGGGTACTAAAAGTTTTGGTTCACCATTATTTATGCAAATGATTTCTTACTTCATGTTATTAACTACTATTTCTTGCTCTCAAATAAGAATCTATCATAAGTTTTCCATCACTCTTACATCTATTCATCTGCAGTTTCGGCCGGTCATTCAAGCTCAGCAAGGGCAACCATTTGGACATGCAGGACATGCTATTCCACCACATATGGGAATGCCTGTTCAAGGTCAGCAATTGCAGTATTCTCAACCAATGCAGCAGTTGACTCCAAGACCAATGCAGCCTGGTCATCCTGCTCCTTCATCTCAAGCTATACCTATGCCATATATTCAGACAAACAGGCCACTGACATCCATTCCACCACATTCGCAGCAGACTGGTCCCCCCTTAAGCAATCACATGCCTGGCATGGCTGTTTCAGGAGCAGCTCCTCATTCTTCATATACTGTATGGGCTGCCTTAGTTTTTAGAGCTTTACTGTTGTACTTGATTTGATTACTAGATTTTGAGTTATTTAGTACCTTCTGCACTAACATCATTGTAAACATTTTCAGTTCACACCATCTTATGGTCAGCAGCAAGATAATGCAAATGCATTGGCTCAATACCAGCATCCACCTCAAATGCATGCTCCTCCTGCTGGACAACCTTGGCCATCCTCTGCATCTCAGAGTGTTGCAGCTGTTACATCTGTGCAGCCAGCTGGGGTACAATCATCTGCTACTACATCAACTGATGCAGTAAGTGTTTTATCCATACTTTTTTTTAATGCATATTACTGGTTTTACAATCATTATTTAGAAATTTCGACTTCAAAGTTCAAATGCTTTTGTTTATTCAAGCGGTAGATATATAATAAATCTTGTTTGGAATTCCTATGGTGGAGTTCCCTTTTCTAATGGTTATTGTATTTTAATTATTATTTGTATGATATTGGCATCAATACTGTCCAATAACATGGTGATTCTCTTGTGTCATAGTGTTATATTATCATTATTATGTTTTTCTGTAGATGCGTGTTTTTTCTTGTGGTTTATAAAGCAGTAGGAATATTTTTATTCAGTTGATTGTATCCATATGTTCCTTGATTTTACGTAGGTTAAGCAAATATGCTAATGTGATCCTCATTTCATGCCTCTGGAGTATAGATTGTCAAAATATAACATCATGAAGTAGATGCTATTTGTAATTAATCTTTTAATTAGACATATGAGGGAATTTTAAGTTCTATTCATAGTTATGAATAGCGGCGGAGTAGAGTGGAGCGGTTTAGTGCTGCTATAGATAACTTGATGCGGAGTGCTTTAAAGGAGCAGCTAGAGCGGATCTCCTATAGATTTGTCTTCTTCTCTGCCGGATCTCTGCATATCTGTCTTCTTCTCCGGCAAATCTTCGTAGATCTGTCTTCTTGTTTGGCGGGTGCTGGATCCGTCTTCTCCGGAGATGGTGGTGGCTCTGTCTTCTCTGGAGGATTGTCTGCAGATCTTCTTCTTCTTCTTCTTCTAAGAGGGGAGGGAGGCGGTGGCTAATGGGTCTTAGGGTTAGAGGGTTATAGTAAACTAATTAGGGTTGGAAAAGTTGGGGCAATGGGCCCAAATTTATTGATTTTCTATTTTGGTTTGGTTGACGAGCCTAATTTAAGCAAAGTTTATTTTTACTTCTCTATTTTTTAGGGTAGTAACTTTTCTTTATTTTTAATTATTATAATTCAGATAATATTTTAAGTAATAAACAATTTAATATAAAACCTTAAACATTTTGTTTTCATAATTTTCTATATATTTTTTTTTATTTTGTTTAACTATTAATTTTTATTATTAATTATATACATGTTAAATGTCAGTACCTCATGGTGTTTCTGATAATGCCTTACATTAAATGTGATTCAATGAATTACATTTCTTCTATGTTAATAATATATTCCTCTTCTGTTATATTTTGATTTCAGAGAAATTTGAGTTATATTATTATTATTCTCAGTGTTTTACTCTGACAAATTTTAGGTAACTAATGCTACTAACCAGCAGTCATTATCTGATTGGCAAGAACACACTTCTGCTGATGGGAGAAGGTATTGGTTAACATAATCATATTTAGCTTTGCTAGAAAACACTAAATATCTTTTATATATTTATTATCTATTTGTGAAAATAATCTAATTATCTTGTGCTTATGTAATTCAAAACTTTTAAAATCATAATGAGTTGTTCTTGTTTTCTCAAATTAACCAGGTATTACTACAACAAGAGGACGAGGCAATCAAGTTGGGATAAACCTTTGGAATTGATGTCACCCATTGAGGTGAGTTTGTTTCGATAATTTGTTGCTGTTTCTGTGAATGCCACTTTTATTATCTGTTGGAATGCTTTGAAAACGTAATGTGGTCAATCAAACTTGTATCTTATATGGATGTTGATCATTTCTACAATGTTTTCAATGATCATAAAGGGTTTATGGTGCGAATATCCTTTTATGTGCATGTGCTTCCACTGATTTGTAGATATCATGGCAAGTCAGGAGAAATTTTAACAACTGCTCTATATGGTCACTGTGAAGGCGGGGTAGCACTTTCTCAAGGCAGGCAACAGTTTGCTATTTACAATCTTTTTGTTTTTTAAGAACAAAAAATGTGAGATTGGTGTATAGCTGTAGTTCTGCAATACCATTAGTTGGTGGTTGACAGCACCCTTCCCATGCCCCTCCAGCAATTATGTAGGATAATCTTTATGGTGTTTGTGTGATTTCAATTGTCTCTTTTGTAAGTTTTTTTGCTCTCTTTGCACATTCCCACACACGAGATATAAGGTGTGTGATTGTGTCTATATTTATTATCTTGTTTTCCTTTTTTTTTCTCCATCTCTCTGATTCTTTACCCTCTTTAATGATCTTGTGGTGGCTTATACATTATTGCAGTGGGGCATGCTTACATATTTATGTATAGGAATATACAAATTTTGCTTTATTGTGTAATTTCTTCTTATGTGTTAATTGTGGCAATATTATCATATAACCATAATTAACTCTTGAGGGATGTTTTTTTCCCTTCCATTTGTTTAATCCTTACCTATAGTTTCTTGCAGCAGCATGTGTTTAATTATTATAACCTTTATATGGTGATCTTTATTGGGTGGTATACTTTTAGCACTTTCAAATCCCACTAATTCTGCTGGATGTGACAGAGAGCTGATGCATCAACTGTTTGGAAAGAATTCACTTCTTCAGAAGGAAGAAAGTGCGTTTTCTCTCCTATTTATGATTTTTATAACAATCTATAATATACTACACCTTTTTTCTGTACCCTTTCTGCATCATTAATTCGTAATAATTTGATGTAAGGTTTTATGTTTTGTCTGACATCTTGCAGGTATTATTACAACAAGGTTACTCAGCAATCAACGTGGTCAATACCAGAGGAGCTTAAGGTCTGTTAATAATGATTATATTTGTTATTGTTTTTAGTTTTCTTCCCAAAAGCATCTGTTTTCTTACCACAAATTGTAATATTTCCATTCAGATGGCTCGTGAGCAGGCACAGAAAGCGAACCAGGGAATGCAGTCAGAAACAACTGATACATCCAATGCTGTTGTCTCCTCCACTGCGACATCAACAGCAGCTAATGCAGCTAGCTCAATCACTTCTTTGACATCAAATGGGCTTGAATCTAGCCCATCTTCTGTCACACCAATTGCAGCAACCGATTCTCAACAGTTGGTTTCTGGGTTATCTGGGACATCTGTTTCTCACTCTGTAGTTACCTCAAACACTACAGGAGCTGAACCAAGCACTGTGGCAACTACGAGTGCTGCACCTACAATAGTTGCAGGAAGCTCTGGACTGGCTGAGAATTCACCTCAACAATCCAAAATGCCACCCATGTATAAAATTCTGTTCTGTTCATTGTTTTTTCTCTGTTGTATAGTTGAGTTATAGTTTTCCATACTGATTTATGTATTGAAAATTTACCTGCACAGTGTTGAAAATCAAGCATCTCAAGATTTTGCTTCTGTAAATGGATCTTCTCTTCAAGATATTGAGGTAATTTTCTTTCTATCTTTTAGAATTCTTGTAGAGTATATTTATTATAATTAAGTGTTTATTTTTATCATTAAGTAGCCTGTACAGATTCTTAGACTTTTGAGAGTTGTACAGTATTAAGTGATTGCTTGATTTCCTCTCAATTCTTTTTTGTTTTAAAATCTGTTCTGTAAAATAATTTTATGCTACACAACAATCAATCTCTCATCCCAAATTTCCAAAGTTTTGAAAATTGTTTCTGATGGCATCCTTGCTTCCATTGAAGAAGGAATGTTGAACAATGGCAAGGGATGCTTGAACTCCTTGGATCAAAGTTCCTCAAGGGGCATTTTTAATGGAGGAATGGGTCGGAAATGGAAGTGTGGAGGTTGGGTAAAAGGTGTTTGATGAAATGCTTGAGGAGGGTACTTTAGGGTTGGCTCACTTCATGATAATGAAGGCCACTTTTAGGGTTTTTTTCTCTCAAGGTGGAGATGGTAGGGTTTGGCCAAGAATAGCTAAGGGTGACTAAGGAAAGATATAAAGGCACAAAAGGCTCTCTTTATATTCAATATCCAAAGTCTTTACAAGGTGTGGTGCCTAAGGTATTTATAGGAGTGAGATGCATCTAGGGTTGCATTTAGGGTTGCATTGGCCAAAATTTACAATGCCAAATGCACACCAAATGAAATCCAAATTAACCCTAGATGCAACTTGGTGGCCAAGGATGGAATCTTTGGGTTTAGTTAGGCTACATTTAGGTGCATGATAAAACCATCAAACCTTTGCCCTCTACTTGGGCCTAAGCCTTTCTAAGTCCAAAAATAGGTCCAAACACCACCAAAAATACGTCTAGCTCCCTAATTAAATACCTTAGCCCAAAATTAAAAACCTATGATCTAAAGTATCCCATAATAGAAGGGTAAAATGGGAAATACAAAAGAAAATAAATTCTATGACTAAGAAATCTCATAATACAAGGGTAAAATGGGAAATACAAAAGAAAATACTTTCAATTCATTTCAAAATAAAGAACGTACCTTGCACATCACTGCTCTTACACATTTGTTTGCCAAAACATAAAAATGATGATAATTCAGTAAAAAGGGGAAAGAAATACAAGCCGAAAAGAGGATGAGATGATGAAATATCCTATAGAAGATGTAAAAATAAGGTACATATGCAATATGACACAAACACACAGACACTAAAGTTAGGTCCAAGGTGTTTTGTCACATGCTATTAGCTTCTGTTTCAGTGAGAGAGAAGAGGAGTATAGAGTTTATTTTGAATCTGAAGTATTTTCATTATGCACCAAAATGCAATGATCCCTATATTTATAATAGGGAAGGTACAAAGTTCGGTTATAACTGAATAGCTACTAAAAAATAACACTCTAACAGAAAAATAAAAGAAAGCAAGTAAAGAAAAATACAACATAACTCTGACAAGAGTCTGTGAATGTGAATGTGAGTCGTGCACAAATGTTGGTGTCAAGTATAAGTTCACTTTGTTTGCAACAGTAGTTTGGAAGAAAATAAGGTTCAATCATGTGTGCCTAATGTCAATGTCTGCCATGAATCCTGATATCATGACATGCTAAGCTAAGCAGTCATGCATAGATATGCACATAGAAAGATGAACTTTAGAATTATAGCAAATTCATTTTGTATAATTATAATTATATATAACATATTATACATTGCACAACGCAGTCTATACATGCACAACACATCAAAATACTCAACACAGCAGCCCTCCCACAAATCACAGCAGCTCTGATACCACTTGATGGATTCCTCCTTCCATGAATGACGTAGGGATTGAAGGTAGATAGCCTTCCTTTGTGTAGGACTTTTCCTACTTTAGTTGTGTCAATAATGCACCCAATTTATGGAATATATTATTTGTTGGATATAACATATGAACCTTCAAGGTTCCTTGTGACAAATCCTTTTCAAGAGGGAGGGAATGATGGAATAACACTAAGGTCGAGAAGACCAAGAGGTGATATACTAAAGGAGGCAAGGGGAATGGGATAGTAAGGCCATTTTTTGGACCTTAGCTCCTAGGTTTTATAGCATTTATTTCTTTATTCCTATTTTGCCCTTGTCTTTAATTTCCTATTTTACCCTTGTATTTTGGGGTATTTTAGTCATACAATTTATTTTACTTGTATTTCCAATTTTACCCTTGTATTTTGGGGTGCACAAGGTCACATCGGTCGAACACCCGCAAACGAATGGTCAGGCCGAGTCAGCCAACAAGGTCATCCTTTCAGAACTGAAGAAACGTCTAGGGGAAGCGAAGGGAGCATGGGCCGAGCAGCTACTCGAGGTGTTATGGGCATATCGATGCACCCCCAGTCAACCACACAAGAAACACCTTTCCGGCTGGTCTATGGATCCGACGCGATGATCCCGGTGGAAATCGGAGAACCGTCATTCCGCTCATCATTGCCGGCCAATTGTATAAACGTGGCTTCTCTACCCCTTTGCTTAAATGCCTAAGCCCCTTCGAGGCCGACTACGTGATGAGAGAAGTACATGAGGGCATTTGCGAAATGCATTCAGGAGCTAGAACGACAATATCCAAACTCTTGCGAGCCGGATATTATTGGTCGACCATAAACTCTGACTGCGCTATGTTCATAAAGAAGTGCCAGCCGTGTCAAAAGCATGGCAATTTGATCCATCAGCCGGCTGAGCAATTACATTGCATTCCCCCAGCATGGCCGTTCGCCACTTGGGGTGCCGATATACTCGGACCTTTCTCGGTCACCAAGGACCAATGCAAATTTCTCATCGTTGCCGTCGACCTGTTCACCAAATGGATCGAAGCCGAGCCCTTGGCGTGTATCTCTCTCATCAAGTCCAAAAGTTTCTATGGAAGAATATTATCACCCATTTTGGTGTTCCACACACTCTCCTGACCGACAACGGCCTGCAATTTACCGACCGAAAACTAAACAAATTTCTAGCCGGCTTAGGAGTGCAGCACAAGGTCACATCGGTCGAACACCCGCAAACGAATGGTCAGGCCGAGTCAGCCAACAAGGTCATCCTTTCAGAACTGAAGAAACGTCTAGGGGAAGCGAAGGGAGCATGGGCCGAGCAGCTACTCGAGGTGTTATGGGCATATCGATGCACCCCCAGTCAACCACACAAGAAACACCTTTCCGGCTGGTCTATGGATCCGACGCGATGATCCCGGTGGAAATCGGAGAACCGTCATTCCGCCGAGCCCACTTTGACAAAGCAAGCAACGAAGCCGAACTCTGAACGAACTTGGACACGGTAAAGTTTTAGAATCCTATATCATAATGTTAATGATTATTATTAGTTATAGTGTTTAGCTGAGTTCAATTTATCTTTTAGGAAGTTGATATATTTTAATTGCTTTCTTTAAAATTTTAGTCATTTAGTATTTTTATAATCACTATTATTATCAACAGATCAATCTGCTGAGTGGGAGATTCACTCCAGCATATTTAAAAAATGAAATCTTAGTTTCTCTTTATTGTATTTTACCTATAAATAAATTCGATGTTATCTTGACTTGCATTTATGATGAGTGTTAATGTGTTATGCAAATAAGATGAGTGTTAACTAATTTTGCTTGAATTTATGATGGTAGAGGAATTCAACTGTGAAGTTGGCACTGGTGGTAAAGTTACATGACGACATTCCAATTGTAATCTACAGAGGAAGAATCTAAGAGTGAGAAGATATAAAATACCTATTGACAAACTGGTGAATGTTCGAATACGAGATATGTGAGTGCTTGAGATAAAATTTTAAAGTAAAGCGCAATGAAGTAGAGGACTTGAGATTATATGAACCAAAAACCTAGATTAGAAGAAACAAATAAGCTGTAGGAGATATGCAAATTCATGATGAAGAAACCTGTGAATAAACAATATTGAAGAAGCATTTGAAGGTTATGCGTCAAACTTCGAGACTCAAAACGGAGACATGATTCGAGACTCAGAATGGAGACATGAGCGAGGAATGGGTGCAACGAGAAAGAATGGTGTAATTGGTTTGTTAATATGGTGCGTTTTGGGCGCTCACACTGCACTTGTTATCGTCAGTATGCATCACTAAATAATCTTTACACCAGCACAGTCTTGAATGTATTTCAGGCAACCATTTTTATGAGATTAAATTACACCAATATTACCTGATTGAATAAGGTTCTAGATACCACATGATGACATCCTTGCTTCCATTGAAGAAGGAATGTTGAACAATGGCAAGGGATGCTTGAACTCCTTGGATCAAAGTTCCTCAAGGGGCATTTTTAAAGGAGGAATGGGGTGGAAATGGAAGTGTGGAGGTTGGGTAGGTGTTTGATGAAATGCTTGAGGAGGGTACTCTAGGGTTAACTCACTTAGGCCACTTCTAGGGTTTTTTTCTCTCAAGGTGGAGATGGTAGGGTTTGGCCAAAAATAGCCAAGGGTGACTAAGGAAAGATATAAAGACACAAAGGGTTCTCTTTATATTCAATATCCAAAGTCTTTACAAGGTGTGGTGCCTAGGGTATTTATAGGAGTGAGAGGCATTTAGGGTTGCATTGGCCAAAATTTACAATGCCAAATGCACACCAAATGAAACCCAAATTAACCCTAGATGCAACTTGGTGGTCAAGGATGAAATCTTTGGGTTTAGTTAGGCTACATCTAGGTGCATGATAAGACCATGCAACCTTTGCCCTCCACTTGGGCCTAAGCCTTTCTAAGTCCAAAAATAAGTCCAAACACCACCAAAAATACGTCTAGCTCCCTAATTAAATACCTTAGCCCAAAATTAAAAACCTATGATCTAAAGCACCCCATAATACAAGGATAAAATGAGAAATACAAAAGAAAATAAATCTTATGACTAAGAAACCCCATAATACAAGGGTAAAATGGGAAATACAAAAGAAAATAAATCCTATGTCTAAGATACCCAAAATACAAGGGTGAAAATGGAAAATTTAAAGATAAGGGCAAAATAGGAATAAATTTTATGCTAATA